TGTGTATTTAGATAGTGTTAGCTGTCCACAAGTTACGGATTGTTAGGATATACTTCTGTATGGGATGTAGAAGGGATTGTTAGTAATGGGGATTGGCAACCCCATTGCTAGCAATGAAACCTATCAGGCCGACCTCCTCGCGGTTCCCCTCGGAAACCATTGTGATTGGTTTATTATTGAATTTGTGGCGTCTGTAAATAAATACATACATATCTGTCACGCCTGTCTCTCATTAGGGTAGGCAGAAACAATGGAACGCCAAATGCTTCGATTCGAACAAACCTCTTTCGCTTCTTCCACATTCATAAATCTTTTCATACACGCTCGCCGGTTACGGGTACTTTTAATTTGACCCTTCTTCAGCACGTCGCCTATTTCGTCGCCGGTCGACATACGTCCGTCTAGGGCGGCCCCTACCGACATCTCCATTCATTCTTGCTCGATAAATCTCTTTCGTAATTCTTCTTTCATCCATCCTCTCCAAAGTAAATAAATATTGTACATATTCATCTCATAGCCACTTGTAAACTATTCTACTAACTAACTAACTATAGCTAGTATTCAAAATGTGAAAGTGTGTTTTTATCAAATAGCGCCTTAAAGGCTTTTTTTTTTATACAACTTAGAATGGCAAACAAGCTGACGGCCCACCTGATGGAAAGTGGTCGCCTATAGACATGAGCAGTACCATTGACATAACAGAGTATACTGTTTCGCCCATGATATCCCCCATGCGTTGCCATTCCTGAGGACTCAGGTGTTATTCCTCTGTACCCAGTAAATTCACGCCATATCCCAACCTTCAAACCGAAACACACACAGCCATGAAAACACAACTGCTTCACGGTTGAAACACGAATGGGACAGAGGTACCCAAGCAATTGACTTTTGTACAAAGGCTCAACAAATCGTCATAAAATTTGACACAAATATAGTACGAAAGAAACGATACGATAAAAGATGTACGAAAGAAGAATATAGGCTACATTATATCCCGGTCAATTAACATATCCCGGTTTTTTTTTTAATGAATAATAATGGAAAGGTAACCCCGTCGCCCTATCGGTATACACTGGCGGGGCACCAGTGAGGGGTGATAGGTGAGAATGAAAAGACAGGTCAGTTAACCCATCGTGATGAATACACCTGGAATCCAGCATGATGGTTTCCAGAGAGGGACCACGGGATAATAATTAGCGGATAATCCAGTGTAGGAAAGGAACAGGAAAAAATATCCCATTATTCCATTATCCCGGTTAAGCGGACGAAGTTGCCAGTAAGAACTAGTATACTAGTGTAGTATTTGCAGTTGGCCCCGCAGTGTGGCCACAATAGCGGGGTAAAAGCCGAGAACGGTCCGTTTGATGTGCGCCGGCGCAGTTAAACTCACACATCTGTTGTTTACACGTGGCGGGTACGCGAACCTTTCCTATCCGGCCGCCCGCGCCGGTAATTGTACTTATCACTGTACTGTTATGAAAGTAACGCTGTCAGTAACTTGTTATGGACGATTTTGATGCGTTATTCTCTATATCTTCTTACCAGTCATTAAATATCCAATGATGAACATAGGCCTTCCTATGATTGGGTCGTTGCCAGTAGCCACGCTTGACAGGCGGATTAGCAACCGTAGTTAGGCCATTGGTTGTGTTTTAAGAGGGACGCTGCTGCCCATCCGTCGACTATAAGGTCCCTTAATCACTTCTTGCAACAGCCACGGGAGAGAAAAAGTGGCCTTTTTTATGCCAGGAATATCGTAATAATATATAAAAGTTAAATTTCACCAAAACCCTAACTGCGGATGCCAATTCGCCTGCTAAGCGTGGCAACTATTAGCAAAACCAACTTTATGGTGATGGTCTACGTTCAGCAGTGGACAATTGATTAAATATTATAAAATTAACAATAATTAAAATATTAAAATATAAAAAATTAGTTTGATTATTACCTCTTGACACAAACGGCCTAAACGAACGTCATAAAATTTGGTATCTAGATACCATATGAAATTAAGAAGGACGTAAGCTAATATTTATCCCGATCAGTGTACCCGGTCACGCGAACAAAGTCGCGGGTGAAAGCTAGTATGCAATAAATCTTATTATGATTCGTGTAAGCGGCTCTTTAAGTCCCCGCTACGATAATATCGGCCAAAGTAAACGCTATAATTTGATCTACCGCTCACAATTTACGATCCGACGCGATAGATGGAGCTTATCATAGTCGTATACGGACCCTTGATAATGTGGATTAACTTCGGACTATGTTTGTACACAAATATTGGTAGATGTACCCAGCAAGTGCGAGTCGAAGCGATCACGGGCGTCCTGTATGTGAAAACAAATATAATAAGAATTTTTAATTTTATCTATACGGTCAAGTCGCTTCAATTATACATCAATATATAACACACTAACAATACGCCCCGGCTTCGCACGGGTGCAATGCTGATACTAAATAGCGCCGCCGTCCCCTCGACCGGTACCGACGCAACCGCTATGTCCGTGCATTTTAAATCTGTAATATCTTTGACAATATTCATTTAAATTACATGCTGTAAAGGGTCATATTAATCTATATTAAATGCACAATGTATTTAAGGTACTTAATTGGATAAAGTTTAATACTGTATTGCTTAAAATCACTTTGTAAATGAGCCATTATTTCTCGTAAAAAGTAAAAGATTAAAAATGGTTATTGTGGGTTATCCCTAACAGATAGACATATACCGCCATTGTCTTTTTTATAGACCTTAAGGTGTATAATACTGTAATGCATTATTTTGATCTATCTCGTAGAGTTCAAGCAGCGTTTGCAATATAAGTACAAAAAAAATTATTAATTTACGACATCACATTCGAAATATAAAATTATCAGTGTTTCTCCACTATATTATGCATGTATTATACATACGAACCTTCCTCTTGAATCACTTTATCTATAAAAAAAAATCGCATCAAAATCCGGTGCGTGGTTTTAAAGATCTAAGCATACATAGGGACAGACAGACGAGAAGCAACTTTGTTTTATACTAATGTTATTTAGGGGGGATGGGATTGTTAATAATGAGGTCTAATGAACCCATTGCTAGTAATATACCCTATCAGGTCGACTTTCACGCGATTCCCCCTGGAACTCATCGTGGTTAATTCTAGTGGAATTCGTCACGATGGGCTAACTGACCTGCTTTCATCCTCATCTATCATCACTCACTGGTGCCCCACCAGCGTATACCGATAGCGCAGGTGGGGTTACCATTGGTAACCCCACCTGGGGGTGGGATTATTCCACTATCACCCATTACAAAAAAAAATGTAGTGATAATAAATATAAATTTATAGAAAATAAAGTTCCTAATTATAAATGCAACCCAACCGACGTACTTGAGAATGCATATTGTAAACTATACTGGGATAGAACCTTTATTACCGATTAAACCATTCATTTAAATGGACCTTATATGACTATACAAGGGGGAAAGGGATTGTTAGCAATGGAGTTTGACAGCCCCATTGCTAGCAATATACCCTATTAGGTCGTTCCCCCTTCACGTAGTTCCCCCTGGAAACCATCGTGAACAATTCTTGTTGAATTGGTCACGATGGGCTAACTGACCTGCTTCATCCTCACCTATCATCCTTCACTGGTGCTCCGCAAAAATACAATATCATTATCTTCCTAGCCTTATCCCAATTATTATTTGGGGTCGGCGTAATATGTTTATATATATATATATATATATATATATATATATATATATATATATATATATATATATATATTTTTTTTTTACGATACTCTAGACGATTAGTTTAACAACTTGTTAGCAAGGGAGGACTTATCTCTGAAAGAGGTCTCTTCCAGCCAACCCAGTGTAGTTAGAGAGAAAATAATTTAATTTGGGTTATCCAGTGCAGGAAAGGTACCAGTTTATCCATATTACAAAAAGATTTGGCATATAATTTTACGACCGGCCGCCTGCCTGACGTCATGTCATGTCATGGAGATGTTAAATACAATATATTTAAAAATAATCATGATAAAGGTCGTTGCTTTAGGGCTAGTGCATTGAAAGATGCCTATTTTTCATAATGTATGTGTAAACGTATAGAAAATAAATAAAATAATAATTTACCCCTATATTTGCCCCAAATATTTGCACCAATTTCCAAAAATATACTGCAAGGTCAGTGTTCGATCTCCCGCGTTAATTACACTAGTGGTGGGAAAGGGATTGTTACTAATGGAGACTGAGAATCCCATTGCTAGCAATATACCCAACCAGGTCGACCTCCTCGCGGTTCTCCCTGGAAACTATCATGGTTAATTCCTGATGATTGGCTGGAATTCTTCATGCTGGGCTAACTGGCCTGTTTTCATTCTCATCTATCACTCTTCACTGGTGCTCCGCCAGCGTATCCTATTAGCGCAGGCGGGGTTACCATACCACTTACACCCATCAAAAAAAAAATTACACTAGTGTTGCGTGGCGTCCGCGCCAAAGACCTAAAGCACTCAAACCCATTTTAACAATAACTATCGTGAGTTATACAAAACTACCTGTATCCTACGGCTTCGTCCGCGTCAAATACTTTATAAAGTATCTGCTAAGTAAAAACAACCTACTCATGAACCAAATATAATTAAAATCGGTTCAGTAATTTTGGTGTAAAAGATTAACAAACCTCCATCCATTCTTACAAACATTTTATAATATTAGTGGAATTCGATTAAATTCAAGAACATACTATTTTTTTTAGAATGTATTTATGATTTCTTAGTAGAAACAACCCTACTGTTTCCACTTCTTATTGTACGCAGACTGCCCGCTGGTAATTAATGCTCCTTTCCACTCAGGGTTTGCTGGAAGAGAACTCTTAGAGTTAAGCTCGCCTGTTGTACGTCTTTATTTAAAATGAATTATAACAATATATTTTTTGTGTACAATAAAGTATAAATAAATAAATATACATTTTAATGATGTATTATTTGTATTACAGTGTCATCTGGTCACCATTCGGGTCATAGACTGAGGGCGCATAAGGCAGTTCGAAGACATCGCGCTATCCATGGTAAATATTTTCAAAAGATTTCCAATGTAATTTTTATTTGGCTTGCACAAGCTCAGAAATATACGAGAGCGTTTCAAAAATGTTCTCGGGAACATTTTATCTGAGAAAATTCTATGGTACATTTGCTCAACTGCATTCTCAAATATTGTGCATTATTATTTTTGTTTCACGTGTTTAACGTAATCTATCAAATTATATAATTTAATAATTAAATTTTTCAATTGATATATAATCTTTATTATAATTGTCACCTTTCGAAATCGAAATCATGTTGTGCACACTTGTTTTAAATTGATAACTTAGTCTGAAAAAAAAAATTCTCTATGCATAAGAGACTATGCCTTACATAGTAATAATATAATTACATAAGGGGGAAAAGGATTGTTAGCAATGGAGTTTGACAGCCCTATTGCTAGCAATATACTTTATTAGTCGGCCTCCACGTGGTTCCCCCTGGAAACCATCGTGAACAATTCTTGTTGAATTCGTCACGATGGGCTAACTGACCTGCTTCATCCTCACCTATCATTCTTCACTGGTGCCCCGCCGGTGTATACCGATAGCGAGGGTGGGGTTACCATTCCATTATCATCCATTTAAAAAAAAATATATAATTACATAGTATAATTTGTTTTGTATGCTTTAATAAAATAATTAAATTAATTAGATGCTGACTACAATTACTTCTAAACAAAATTGATACTTTAGGATTTTGTTAAATATTAAAATAGAACCTATAAAATGTTGATTAAATATCTATTGTTATATAGATCTTATTTGTTTTATTGGAAATATTATAATAAAATAATAAATTTCGTGAACAGTGCCATCTATTATAAAGTAGTTGTATTTAAACGAATCTTAAAATTCTTTCCGTTCATCTACAGATGGCGCGCTTCGCTTCGAACCTGAACCGTACAGCAAGAAATTGGAGCTCAATAGTTCTGGCAAAATCCACTGTAAAGTTGCTGGTGGAGTTGCTCCAAGTATACAGTGGTATCTGGTATGTAATTTTTGTTTTTTTTTATATGACGTGCAATAGCAAGCTATCTTACTGCACACTCAGTGATACAGTGAGGAAGGGATTGTTAGTAATGAGTATTAGTAGCCCCATTGCTAGAAATATACTTTGTTAGGTTGACCTCCTCACGGCTCTTATGTTCAGTAGTGGACAGTTAAGGTCTGATATGATGATGATGATGATGATGAAGACAAGATTAACCAAGCAAACAATTCTATACAAAACGAATCTACAACCACGCAAAAGTATAAAGAAAAAAATTCAAAATTTCTTACTCAATACTCCATTTTGCCAGCAAATTTTTGCCTAACTTTCAGTTCGATAAAACCATACAACTCTTTTATCCACAGAATGAAGAAGATCCCCTCCCCGATGGTGTGACGTCGTCTAATGGCACCCTGCTGGTGACGGAGGCGGCCCGCCGTCACGCCGGCCGGTACACGTGTCGAGCGGTCGACGGCAACGATACCATCACGGCGAAGATCAATCTAGATATAGTCGGTAAGTTCGAATACAAGTTGAATACACCTTAAATATAAAATCACATAATACATACTGTTTAAAAATATTACCAGAGGGAGACTTTGTACAAAAGTCGATTGCTTAGGTACCTCTGTCCCATTCGTGTTTCTACCGTGAAGCAGTTGTGTTTGCATGGTTGTGTTTCGGTTTGAAAGGTGGGATATGGCGTGAATTTACAGGGTATAGAGGAATAACACCTGAGTTCTCAGGAATGGCAACGCATGGGGGGTATCATGGACGGAACAGTATGTGTGTGTACTGTTATGTCCATGGCACTGCTCATGTCTATAGGCGACGGTTACCACTTTCCATCAGGTGGGCCGTCAGCTTGTTTGCCATTCTAAGTCGTATAAAAAACAAAAATTAAAATATAGTTTCTTTGTACTTTTATGGTAGGATTTATGACGAACGAAGTGTTAAACGCCATTTACTTAGCAGATTTCTGTATGAACAAAAACATTCAATTGAGTTCGCAAATTCGGAATTTCATTTCATGGTTCACCCTCTGGTCTCTGTTTAAATAAACTTGGTCACAAGTATTTTTAAATTGTTAACTTTTTATAATCCCGCCGCTAGGTTCAGAAGGTAAATCTGTAGAAAGATCAAAAGGTGTTATTACTAAAAATTTATAATGTTCCTATTGTATATAACTTGTCAGGTTGACCATGGAAACCACCATGTATTCTAGTCAATTTGTCACGTTGGCTCCAACTGATCTGACTTCATTCTCTCCTATCATCATTCACTGGTTTCTCGCCAGCGTATATCAACAACGCGTATGGGATTACTATTCTATAAGAATTTACTAATAAAATAATTTAATTATGAATATAATACATTTTTCTTAAAAATATAAAAATATCTTTAAATTTCTAGTGTCCCCACGTATCCTTGAGCCGTCTTCGGGTCAGCAAGTCAACGTGGTCGAGGGTCAGACGGCCGTGCTCAACTGCCTGGCGACTGGCGACCCGCAACCCACTACACAGTGGGACAGGAACCGCACCCTGTTGCTGCAACAACGTGAGTCTTTTGTCATCACCGCTGATTATCGATATAAAATAAAGAATTGCATATTAACTATTTTTTTTACATACATACATACATATCTGTCACGCCTGTCTCCCATTAGGGTAGGCAGAAACAATGGAACGCCAAATGCTTCGATTCAAACAAACCTCTTTCGCTTCCTCCACATTCATCAATCTTTTCATACACGCTCGCCGGTTACGGGTACTTTTAATTTGGCCCTTCTTCTTCTTCTCCACTTTTTTTTTTTAAATAATTTATAATTACAACAACATTATTTATTTTACAATTCAATCGCAAATCGTCTGTACTCGAATAGACTTGTTTACAAGCACACATATATCGTCGTTTTTTTACATCTGCTGTAAGGTTTAGAATGTTGTTATCTATAGAGAGTAACCTGCAAGATTCTCAACAGTTACTGTTTTAAAACTCTGTTAGCAAACAATATTAATAATTTAAGTAATTAATAATTTTTATTTCAGCCGGTGTAAGCACTGAAGATTCAGCTAACGCGTCATCAGCCAGGTATGATTTTCTACTATTTCTTCCTAAGTCAATATACATTTATTTATTTAAATACATTTTGAGAATCCCATTGCTAGCAATATACCCAACCAGGTCGACCTCCTCGTGGTTCTCCCTGGAAACTATCATGGTTAATTACTGATGAATTCATCATGCTGGGCTAACTGGCCTGTTTTCATTCTCATCTTTCCTTCCCTCCATCCCTTCACTGGTGCTCCGCCAGCGTATCCCGTTAGCGCAGGCGGGGTCACCATACCATTTTTACCCATCAAAAAAAATACATTTACATACTTGGTTAGATTACATACATTTACAATAAACTTCGATTAAATAAGATGACTACCCCCCAGTAGATGGAGTGACAATCTCAAATGCATTGCAGGAAGTTGATGGATGCAGGTGGCTCAGGTCCGTTCCTTATGGCAGTCTATGGGAAAGGTCCAGCAGTGGACGGATAATGACTGAAATATATGATGATGATGACATAAGATAATATATATATATTTTTTTTTTTTGCCAGAAGGAGACTACAAAAGTCGATTGCTTAGGTACCTCTGTCCCATTCGTGTTACTACCGTGAAGCAGTTGTGTTTGCATGGCTGTGTTTCGGCTTAAAGGGTGGGATATGGCGTGAATTTACAGGGTACAGAGGAATAACACCTGAGTCCTCAGGAATAGCAACGCATGGGGGGGGGGTATCATGGGCGAAACAGTATACTCTGTTATGTCCATGGTACTGCTCATGTCTATAGGTGACGGTTACCACTTTCCATCAGATGGGCCGTCAGCTTGTTTGTCATTCATATAAAAAAAAAAGATAATATGTTTTAATAGCAATTCCTGCACTAAGCTCAAGGCTTCTATCTCAGGAATTCTGTATAATTTTTTTTTTTTTAATGCAGTCACTAGTTCTAAATATAAAACTTTTTATGCTTTTGGCGGGAACTGGATTTTTGCTGCGTGACTCTTCCTAACTTTTTTTTTATACAACTTGGAATGGCAATCAAGCTGACGGCCCACCTGATGGTAAGTGGTAACCGTCGCCTATAGACATGAGCAGTGCCATGGACATAACAGAGTATACTGTTTCGCCCATGATACCCCCCATGCTCCATTCCTGAGGACTCAGGTGTTAATCCTCTGTACCCTGTAAATTCACGCCAAGTAACGTATTAACATATGTATGTTTGTATTACAGATTGCTGGTACTAAATAACGGATCACTCATTATACGCAATGTAAAAGATGAAGACTCCGATATGTACGGATGTTTAGCTGGCAGCGCTGCGGGATTGGCAAGGAACGAGCTTGTCTTACTCGTTCACGCTGGTATGTATCATTTATGATCAATCAATTAATTTAACTTAGAATACACTTAGAATACGAATTATTATTACTTAATGTCGATAAATGTTATTTATTTTTTTGGAAAATATTAAAAAGTATTGTATTGTATTGTAAATTCTTTATTGCACGTAATTCAAATTGAGCACTGATAAATGATTTAATATACAATGGCGGACTTATCCCATAGAGGGATCTCTTACAGTCAACCTTTGAGAAGCTGAAAGAAAACTGTAGAATGTACAAGGGTAATAACCGTACAATTAAAGGTAAACTAAATAATACCCAGTAAAAAATTTAATATATAATACAATAAAAACATCTCTATATACCTACATATGTAAATAATAAAAGTACATGAATAATAATATAACATTGATACATAAATAAATAAAAACTTACACACATAAATACATATATATACATATATACACACATACACAAATATACACATACATACACACACACACACACACACACACACATACATACATATATACATAACAAATACATAGATACATAAATGTAATACTTACATTGAATTTATTGTTATTGATTGTCTTTTTTTTTAATATTATTATGTTTTTATTATTAATAATCAAATGTATAATTAATGTAATGTTGAGTATAGTAACTTGTACCTTATTTTCAATTCATTATACTGTAATGTATTTGCATGCTTTAGAATAGAAGGCGAACATTTGTACTTCACAATAAATCAAGATCTGTAAAAACATTGTTTATTTATTTATTTAGGTTTACCAACAATTGTTTCCACAAAATAATGTAAATATATATACAATTATGGAGCTTAGAACTATGTGTAACAATTTTTTATAGGCAAACACAGCATATATTAATACATGTATAACAATAAGTACAGAGAAATATATATAGCTTACAACTATTATTAAATACTTAACAACTAACAACTAAAGCCACCATATCCATAAGCAGATCCAGCAGCACGACTCATTTTATATATTTATAGATATTTCGTACAAAAACAATTGGAGTATCAAAATTAATATCGACCTGGTCACTGCAGCTATTTATAATCTTACAGAACCTTACCATTGGAGAATTACTACCCAGAACAGTTCTTCTAAATGGAGGTATTGTTCTGACAAATAAATCTATCTATCTATCTAATACTTAGAGTACACAATTATTTGAATAACATGATATACATAATAATTTTATATATCTTCATTTTACCTTATATATGTTATACAATAAATAATATATTATTATATATTTATATATAATATTGATATCATCTATAAGGTCCAGTTAGCAGTGTATTATACATTTAATCCTGTCTCTCGAGTGCTGTCTATCGAGTGGTGGTCCCACCGGAAATCAGCGCTGCAGCACCACGCTGCAGCTTACGCTGAGTGGGGACCACTTCAACTGCTACCACATAATTATTATTTTAATGTATAAAGTTGTTATTAATATTGTTATGTTTTGTAGCTGAATAAATTATTTTATTATTTTTATTATTATTTTTAAATATATTGCATATATTTTACGTCTCCCTTTTTATGGGGGTTAAATGTTCAGCCATGCGGGCCTCAGCCAAGCATGGTTGACTCTTTATTATTATAATTAATTTATATTGCTATTTATTTACTCGCCATCGACGGGCAGTTCACCCTCATACCCTACAGCCTAAATGGTCGCGTACAACGCGGTTTCAGAGATGTTTTCTCCCACGAACACTCAGGTTATGGAATGAGCTCCCTGTCGAGGTTGAGGCATGAGGCATGGGGTTCTTCAAAAGGAGGGTAAAGATGTTTCTTCAAAGTCGGCAACGCGCGCGTAATACCTCTGGTATTGCAGGTGTTCATAGGCTACGGTAACCACTTACCATCAGGTGGGCCGTATGTTCGTATGATGCCTCAGTGGTATAAAAAACAATTGTATTATTCCTGTGTGGTCCCGGTATAGAATAGGCCACTCCTTTTTTTGGCGTGGGTGTCGTAAGAGGCGACTAAGGAGATATTTTTTTTTTCTCCAGAAGGGACACTGCCGGCGCAGGAGTCGTCAGGAGTAGGTGGGAAGGCGGTGGTGGTGTCGATATCCGTGGCCGCCGCTTATATGATACTCGTGCTGGCGCTAATGTACTATTGTAGACGTCGGCGCCTGCGCAGCCGACAGAGAGGTAAGCGGTTTCGTATAATACATTTATTATATCTTAAAAAAAAAAAAAAAAGGTTTTCCAATAAATAAATAAATAAATCTTAAAGGCATTGATATTCATCTTTTTTTTTATGGAAATTTGATTAGCAGACATGCCTGACGGCCCACCTGATGGAAAGTGGTAACCGTCGCCTATAGACATGAGCAGTACCGTGGACATAACAGAGTATACTGTTTCGTCCATGATACCACCCATGCGTTGCCATTCCTGAGGACTCAGTTGTTATTCCTCTGTACCCTGTAAATTCACGCCATATCCCACTCTTAAAACCGAAACACGGCCATGCAAACACAACTGCTTTACGGTTGAAACACGAATGGGACAGGTGCCCAAGCAAACGACTTTTGTACAAAGTCTCCCTCTGGTCCATCTTACTAAAATGTGCCATTTTTCAAAAATAATTTATTTATAACAAGTTCTGTACAAGTGAATTAGACATAGAATATGATGCATATAAATCTACGACTAAAAACTTGGCACATACTTCATATTTTGCCTCGGCCTTCGAATTTTTCCATTATATTTGTACTATAATTTTTATTGTCAGCGTAAAGGATTAGTGACATGTTTATTGGTGGGGGGGAGACTGTTTTTTTTTTTTTTTTGATAGGTGAAAATGGTATGGTAACCCCGCCTGCGCTAACGGGATACGCTGGCGGGGCACCAGTGAAGGGTGATAGATGAGAATGAAATAGGCCAGTTAGCGCATCATGATGAATTCATCAGGAATTAACCATGATAGTTTCCAGGGGGAACCGCGAGGAGGTCGACCTGGTTGGGTATATTGCTAGCAACGGGATTCTCAGTCTCCATTACCAACAATCCCTTTCTCCCCACCATGATATGTTTTCCGAAATTTCGGAGCTAAACGAAACACAAATTTGATGTTAAAATTACATAATACATGCCGTTTGGGAATATTAAAAATGTTAAAATATCGTTCCTTTGGACTTTTATGATAGGATGTATGACGAACGAAATGTTAAACTCCATTTATTGGTCCGATTTTGGTATAAACAAAAACACGAAACTGACACAAATAGAGTCCGAAAATTCGGTATTTCATTCCATGGTAGACCCGTAGGTTACAATTACGATGTGTTCTTGGAACATATCTAACTGTATTTGCTCAGAAATAAGAATTTCTGTTTTAGAAGCCAGTACTCAAATTAGAGGGAAAAGGCGTTGTTAGCAATGGAGTTTGACAGCCCCATTGCTAGCAATATACCTTATTAGGCCGACCTCCACGTGGTTCCCCCTTGAAACCATCGTGAACAATTCTTGTTGATATCGTCACGATGGGCTAACTGACCTGCTTCATCCTCACCTATCATCCTTCACTGGTGCCCCGCCGGTGTATACCGATAGCGAGGGTGGGGTTACCATTCCTTTATCATCCATTAAAAAAAAAAAACTCAAATTACATGAAATAAATTAAGAAAAAAAGTTATAGAAATAAAAATTACAATAATGAATAAAAAAGCTTAATTTGATTTTTTTTATATTGCAATGTCATTTATTTCTAGGCGAAAAGATGGAGCTTGAAATGGCAGAAGGTAGAGAGAAGTTAGTGGAAGAAGGCGAAGAGGATAAACCGAAGGTCGCCAACGGATCCGCAGTACAAAATGGACGCTTGCTGCCGCATGATAGAGATAGTGGTATATTTACTGGATTTTGTTATACATATACAAATACATATTATACACACAATTGTATTTACGTATCATAAAATTCGCTGCACTTGTCAGTTTGTCTGAACGCGATAAGCTCAAAAACCGCCGAACAAATAAGTTTTATCTTTGGCTGTACAGTTTTCATTGTTGAACATTCTATCGATTTCTTTTAGCTTCTCAAAGACTGATCATAAGAGATCCCTTAGATTTACTATTCTCCATGTACATGGGCGATATTTAAGAAAACTTGATATGGGAGACCCAATAACTAGACTTGATACATGATAAACAATATATTTTTTTTAATTTTATCTATTTATATATTCGAGTATCACTTCAAAATTACTGCACCAAATTGGATGCAGTTTTATATGTTGGCAAAGGTTTCGCTTAAAATCTGGTGTGTATTTTATCTGGATAGAATACTGGAGATCTACATGTGGGTTTCCGCTTCGAAAATCCATGTGTACGAAGTTGGGGGCAAAAATTTGTGTACAATAAAGATTTACAGCAATAATTAATGGTTGGTCATAGAGAGATATAATTACACAAAATATATCCACAAAAATATTCAAAATTACACAAAACAATTTGATATGTTTTTACAAGTCAAACTTATTCACAGGCGCGGACAATTCCGAAGTGTCCGGGATATCGCGCGCGTCGAAGAAGTCCGGACAGTACGACCATCTGACTGTACCACGGACGCTTCTCACGGAACAAATCACGCTGGGTAAGTGTTTTTAACCGACGTCAAAAAAGGAGGTTCACAGTTTGGTTGTATTTCTTCGTTATGTTTGTTATCTTATAACTCCGACATTTATAAATCTATTTAGGATTTTTTTTTTTATCTGAAAGGATATACTTTCAGATTGGTCCCATAGATGTTTTATTAAAATCGGTTTAGTAGTTTTTATTTATGATACAAAACTCTTTAAATTATTTTACTTTAACCAGCTGACTCGGTAAATGAAGTCTGTTTCTCTAACGCCACCTACCGGATTTATATCAAAACTGTTGTAAAGAGAAAAAAAAATGACTTTTTTTTTGTAATGGATAAACTCAAAAATACTATGAACTATACCAATTTCGAAAATACTTTCACCCATAAAAAGCTACCTTATTTAATTAAAGCTTGTATGTTATATATTATTGTAAATATAATATACATATAGAAGATATATTTCTGGCACAGGACGTGGAGAATTCGGTGAGGTGATGTTAGCAAAAATAGACATGTGTCAAGTGAAGAAGCTGAAGAGCAAAGATGATGCTGAGCTGGAGCCGAAGATGAGGCAGGTGCTGGTCAAAGTGCTCACCACTAAGGACGAGGTTTGTGCTTTTTATTTAATTCAATATTTCACCTTTTGTCCACTGCTGGACATACACTTTTTTTTTATACAACTTAGAATGGCAAACAAGCTGACGGTCCACCTGATGGAAAGTGGTAACCGTCGCCTATAGACATGAGCAGTACCATGGACATAACAGAGTATACTGTTTCGTATACCTTCTCCCATAAACCCCCAATAGGTTTTGCCAATAGATGGCACGCTTGGCAGGCGAGTTGGTAAACGTTGTTAGGCTTTGGTGATATTTTAAAAGGGTATTTTGAGAGTTTGCCAGAAGCTTGCCACGCTTAGCAGGCGGGTTGGCAACCGTTTGGGTTTTGGTGATGATTTAAGAGCGACGCTGCTGTCCATGTCTCCACCATAAGCTCCCTTAATCGCCTCCTACGATACCCACGGGAAAGGAAGGGGTGGCCTAGTCTATGCCAGGACCTACACAATTAACCCATGCCTAGTAGGTACCCCATTGATAGCAAATAAATAAATCATGATAATCCCCCCTCCCCCCTCCTTCCACTTCTGTAGCCGTTTTCATTACACCATGTATATCATTTGTAAATCATTTGCAGACTCAGCTATCCGAGTTCAAACGTCAACTGGAGCTGTTCGGTCGGATCCGTCACGAGAATATAGTGCGCCTGATAGGTCTCTGTAACGAAGCGGACCCACACTATATGCTGTTAGAACATACAGACTGGGTGAGTGTTTAAAACTATATATATATATATATATATATATATATATATTGTAGCTATTATATCCATACATATATTGGCTTAATATCATATATATTAGATATTGGTAATCGAATACGTAACATCGAAAAGAAGAACTTTATTATAATGAATATAGATATGCAACTGGTATGGGCGATACCGCAATGGCTGGTCGTTAATGTCCGGAAAACCTTAATATATAGATATCAGATATTACCCGTCCCTAAATGATGATATCAGCCGTTACTGTCCACTGCTGAACATAGGCTTCCTCCTTTTGGGGGGTTTTTGCCAGTAGCTACCACGCTTGGCAGGCGGGCTGGTCACAGCAGTTAGGCTTTATTGATATTTGAAGAAGGAAACTGCTGTTCATTCCTCAACCATTAAGTTCCCTTGGTCGCCTCTTGCGACACCAATTCTATGCCAGGAGCACACGGCGCCTTACAAAACTAGCATTTGTTATACAGGGTGATCTGAAGAGCTTCCTGATCGCGACGCGCACGGCCGAGGAGACGGCCGAGTACCTGCGCCGCGTGGGCCCGGCGCACCCGCCGCCGCCGCCGGCCGCCGCCGCCGGCGCCGCGCCGCCGCCGCTGGCGCCGCAGCACCGCGCCGTGCTGGCCGCGCACCTCGCTGCGGCCGCCGGTCGCCTCGCCAGCAAGAGGCTCACGCACAGGTGAGCTGGTAATCTTTTAATTGGCTTTAAAAAGGAAACCGTTTGCAGTCCGGAAAGTTAAAAGAAAAAGGACCAGTCTCACAAGCCAAGGGTTGCACTGCGGTTTCTATGTTTTTAACCTGTGTATATAAACAAAGAATCGGTTGACTGCATAGAATGCCACTAACATTAAATCTGTCTTTTGTACTATATTTTCATTTGGCCAATAAAGTCATTTGAATAAAATAATTACATAACTATTATACATATAGGTAACACAACTAGCATATGTATTTATACAAGTATAAATGTTGTTTAACCAGAGACATAGCGGCTCGCAACTGCGTGATCACGTCGCAGCTGCAGCTGAAGCTCTCCCTGGCGGCGCTCACTCGCGGCCCGCACTCGCACGAGTACTGCAAGCGGCACGACCAGGTACCGCTACCGTCATTGGTACCGCTACCGTCATTGGTACTGCTACCATCATTGGTACTGCTACCATCATTGGTACTGCTATCATTATTGGTACTGCTATCATTATTGGTACTGCTACCATTATTCACATGCTACCATCATTGGTATTGTTATCATTATTGGTACTGCTACCATCATTTGCATGCTACCATTATTGGTACTGCTATCATTATTGGTACTGCTACCATCATTCACATGCTACCATCATTGATACTGCTATCATTATTGGTACTGCTATCATTATTGGTACTGCTACCATTATTCACATGCTACCATCATTGGTATTGTTATCATTATTGGTACTGCTATCATCATTTGCATGCTACCATTATTGGTACTGCTATCATTATTGGTACTGCTACCATCATTCACATGCTACCATCATTGATACTGCTATCATTATTGGTACTGCTACCATCATTCGCATGCTACCATCATTGGTATTGTTATCATTATTGGAACTGCTAATATCATTCGCATGCTACCATCATTGATACTGCTATCATTATTGGTACTGCTACTCTCATTCGCATGCTACCATCATTGATATTGTTATCATTATTGGTACTGCTACCATCAATTGCGTGCTACCATCATTGGTACTGCTTTCATTATTGGCACTGTTACCATCTTTAAATTTTTTAATAGAAGCTTAAAATTAAGTTCACTTCAATGAAAATTCTATTCTGTCTTCTAGGTGATACCATTGCGCTGGTTACCATCTGAAGCCGTGCTAGAAGGGGAATACTCAACGAAATCGGACGTATATATGTTTGCGGCCACAGTTTGGGAGGTGAGGTCATGACTTGTTTATTTTATACACAGCATCCATCGAAAACGACACAAAAATACGAATTCTAATAATAATAATAATGATTATTAACAAGTTTGAATGCAAAATATGAATATAATTTCAGATATACACAAAAGCAGAGTTGCCATTCGGTAAATTGAACGATAATTCTGTTATGGAGAGGCTGAAAAATGGCACACTGGAGTGGACGGTGCCGGATTCGATGCCCGACTCGCTCGCTGCGTTGTTGGTCAGTATTCATTTATATATTTACTATCAAGTTATTTGCATATAATAAAATATTAAAATATATTAAATATTTTTAGAAATATAGTATATTTTCAATCGACTTCAAAAAGATTCTAAATTCGGTTGATTTTTTTTTTGTGTTTGTTATCTCTTAACTCCGTCAGTTGTGAACCGGTTTGGAAAATTATTTATTTATTTAAAAGGATATTCTTACAGATTGGTTCCATACAAATTTTAACAATATCGATACAGCAGTTTGGTTTTTAAATCAGAATAACTGGTTTTTCACAGTTGAGGTTGTTTTTTTTTTTAACACAATTAAATTATTTTTTTATATATTTTAAAAAAAAATATTGATTTTGTGTTTGTTTGTTTGTATATTAGTGTTACACGTAAAAACGGCTGGACTGATTGTGATTAATTTTTCACGGTATATTATGTATAGCCTAGTAATAATAATTGGCAATAGACAATTTATGAAACTGGTTTAAAAATAGATTTTTCTTTTGGCTGAATTTGTTTTGGGTATAACTGATTTTTATGGTTCCTTTTCTATTTATAGAAACGCTGCTGGAGCAACTCGCCAGCAGACAGGCCGCAGTTCACCGAGATTTGCGAGGAAATGACCACAATACTGCAGAATATGACGTCGGATGACATAACCGGACATACAGACGAAAACAATGCTTAGTTATACGTAAGCAAATGATTAATGTAAATAATAAAATTAAAAAATTTAAAGTTTCCCTTAGAGAGTCCAGTATGGGGTTTTTCAAAAAGGATATATTAAGCTTTCTTCAGGGTCGGCAACGCGCACGTGACGTCCCTAGTGTTGCAGGCGTCCATAGGCTGTAGTGACCGTTTACGATCAGACGGGCTGTATGCCTGTTTGCCGCCGTCGTGGTATATAAAAAAAAACAAAAGCTGATATAAAAAAGAACTATGGCATAAATCTAGATAGATACTAGATAGAGTATCCCCCTACAGATGCTTCGATAAAGGCGCAATTTGTTTACGCCTGTTTGCCGCCTTTGTAAAAAAATAAGATCTAGAATAAAACATAGAACCATAGACCTAGATAGACACTAGATAGAGGTTTTCAAAATGGCGCAGTTTTAAATTCTTATTAAATTTGTAATTGGTGAATTTTATCATACAAATTGTGTTTGTAATGTGAATAGGTATTTTAAACTTTATGTAAATAACACAAAGACCGTTTACGAATGTATGGCCTTTAGTTTGATTTCCATATTGAATATTCGTGAGTCGCTTTGTATTTTATGAATTAGATAGTGTTTTGTATTTTTATATATGTAGTTAGCGTTAGTTTGATTTTACGAGTGTATGCACATTACTGAAATACAAAATTAAACAATAGTTTTTAACCGACTTTAGAAAAGAAGGCTCACAATTCATCGGAAATTTTTTATTTTTATTTCATGTACTTTCCCCGATTACTCGTAGACGGCTGGACCGATTTGGAAAATTATGGTTTTTTTTTATCTAAACTACTTTTAGATTGATCGCATAAAAGTTTTATTAAAAAAAAATTTAGTTTCGTTTTTAAATCAGTATTACTGGATTTTTTTTAAATATTTGATTTTGCCACGAATGAAATAGGGGTTTTTTATTTGCACATAATCTCAAATTAAAATTATAAAATGTATTAAAATAACGTAACTTCATTGAACATTTTTCTATTTACTTATTAGTTCCCAAAATCTACGAGTCGATCGTATGACACGTGAATAATTTTAACTTAGATACATAGATAGATATATAATTTATTTGCTTTATTTACAGCACACAAATAACATTAGACATAGATATACACGAAAGAAGCAAAAGGGGGCGAGCACAAAAGATCGTGGAAAGGTTGCACTGTCACAAGTGTTGCTGCCTAGAAAAGTCCGTCTTTTAATTATATATATATATATATATATATATATATATATATATATATATATATATATATATATATAAATGGAAAGTACGTAAAATAAATATCATAATTTATTCATAAAATTCATATTTATATTAAAATAAAATATTTATTTATTATATTTTATTTTGAATAAACTTTTGGACTCATTAATATTTTGTTTTCCGCTGTGTCTATATAACTGATAATATTTTCTTTTTTTATATATATATATATAAAAATCATGTAAATAAATGTAACTGTGGATACACTCTAAAATTAAAAAAAAAAAAAAAAAAAAAAATTTAATAAAATGACGAAAGCTAAACGATACTGCCATATGTAAATAAAGAGATTAGATTAAGACTGATATATTTAAACATTTTTTCTTTATACTATTTAGTATACTATTTAGTATTATAAATATTTAAAATAGAAAACGTCCGGAAATCGCGAAAATATATCGTCCTGATTGAATCGAAATTTCTTAGCGTAAGTTATGTAGGTGCGATTATGTACTCTATTACGATGTAGTTAAGATAAGTTTTCGATGTAGGTAGTTTTAGTAATTCAAATTTTTAAGGCGGGGAAAATGTTTAGGTCGTGTATATTTTTTATCGGGTAAACCATCAGCGGATTTAGGGTTTGGTAAAACCGGCCATAATTGTTTGCACTCAACGCTGTAAAGGAGGGTAATGTTTTATAATCCAGTAAATAAGAGACACTGTCTTTCTTCTAATTAATATACATAGATCCAAGCATTTATATATATTAATCAGAAGATACAATCATCTGGACGAGTGGCAGTCCTCCACCGTGCATTTTACAAGGCACTTTCTTCCACGCACAACCACTCTTTGGAATCAACTTCCAGCAGCAGTATTTCCGAACCGATACGACAACATAACCTTCAAGAAAAGAGCATATTCCTTTTTAAAAAGCCGACAGCACACCTGTATATATATATATATATATATATATATATATATATACATGGTTTATTAATAGATTTCAGTTTCGCTGGAAGACCACTCCCTTCCAGCACTTTTATTACACCTGGATATACTAAAGAAATATAAGTATACATACCGAAAACAATACCCTCTTTACTTCGGCAGTGGGTTAAAAGTCACGTTCCGTTAATTACTAACTCGTATAGAACTAACGGAACGTATTGTAAAAAGGGAATGTACATTAACGATACCAGATATTGCATTTATAGTTTAAACATAATTATCTTGAATGTAATTAAGGTAATGTTAAAATAGGATAAATCTCATTACGGTAAGTTAAACGAAGTTTATTTTAATGTATTCTGTTTTAAATTGTATGAAAATATGCATTATTTTTTTTTTTTTCAATAATACTTCAATTCTAACTAAAAAATAAAAATATATATATATATACAGAGTAATGGTAAGGGACAGGTTGGCAAAAACTGAAACAGTGTATTTTGAACTAAAAACTAGTGGAAATTTTTTCTAGTAAATTTTGAAATTTTGTATGTTTTTTTTTATTTAAAATCATGTAATCTATGATATTATGTCGTGTAATATAAAGAAATAATATTTTATAGTGATATACTGTGAAATACCAAAACGGCAATGTATTAATTCAGTATACGTATTGAAATCAGCTATATATATATATACTATAAAACTGCCTACGAAGAAGCGCCATTGACCGCACGATACCTACGTATCGAGCGTCGCGTGTATCGTAAAATTTCAAATACATTGCGCGGCGACAAAAACAAAAACATTTCTGACGAGAAAATAGTCTGCCATCTGATTTAGAACATTCATTTGAATCTGTTTTTTTTTAATGGGTGAAAATGGAATGGTAACCCCGCCCGCGCTATCGGTATACACCGACGAGGCACCAGTGGAAAGTGATAGGTGAGAATGAATGCAGGTCAGTTGGCCCACCATGATGAATTGGACAAGAATTAAACATGATGGTTTCCAGGGGGAACCGCGTGGAGGTCAACCTGAGAGGATATATTACCAGTAATGGAGCTATTAGACCCCATTACTAACAATCCCTTTCCCCCCCATTTAAATCAGTTGTTTTTGTGTCGGCCACCTGTCGCTTTCACCCTGAATATATAATTTAATTTAATATATAATATTTAATTTTCGTCCTCAACGCTTTAGTTAGGACTAAAGTGTTATTAGAAACAAAATGCATTTTTTCATACAACTTACATAGGCTACGGTAACCACTTACCATCAGGTGGGCCGTATGCTTGTTTGCCACCTCAGTGGTATAAAAAAAAAACTTAAACTCATAGATTTAAATTAAGCACCGCACTTCAATCTCCGTATATTTGTCGTTGTGTATATTAATCCTGTATTTTTTAATTTATTTTTTATACATTCAATTTTTTAATCTAATATTGCGATATATATATATGGTAATATATCAAGGGATGGGCAGCAGCATTACTTTTAAAACATTTCCAAAGTCTAACTGCGATTGCCAACCCGCCTGCCAAGCGTGGCCACTATTGGCAAACCCACCTTATGGGAAAGGCCTATGTCCAGTAGTGGACAGTTAAACGGCTGATATAATAATTATATATATAATTAGTCAGTTCAAAACTGAGATAGGTTAGTTTTAATACGTACTTATTGCTAGAAATAAGTTTTTAGTGAAGTTCCTGTCTTGGGTTTGTTTTATTTCTGAAAAGTATCTCAGGATTAATATTAAATTGGACTTAGTTGCGTTTGGAATAAGGTTCATTTATGATTAACACCTGTTTGTGTTAAGTTTTTTAATTAATGCTTAAAAAGTTCTAGGATCTCGTTTCTTATATCTATATTTTTTTGTTTATAATAGACAAAAAAAGAATGATAAATAGAATTTTAAAATCGATTGATTTTAATAATTAAGAAAGCTACAGTTTAAGTGAGTAACTTGGGTTGTATAGTATTTAAAAAAAAAACCATTCAAAGCAGGTGCGGATCATTAGTATATTTAATTAAATTTTACGAACAATAATTATAGTGTTATGAATAATAGAACTAAAATACATGTATGTATTAAATCCGTCGGCTGTAAGTAATACATTTTTGACAACCCTAACATACTCTATGCTAATGTTGTCGACACATTACTTTTTGTCTAGACTACTCAGTCTCAAATGTTAGAAGTTTAGTTGTATTACTTTAAGATATATAGTAAAAATAGTCAAAGAATTCAGTGTTTAATTATGAATACTTAATAATGATTACGTAATGACAACCCTATTATTTAAAGGCCATATAAACAAAATACGAGTAAATAACATCTTTCCTGATAGCTTATGGTAAAAACCATTATTTTATCAATATTTTAGTAATAATAAATTAATTAGTCCATTAATTAAACTGACTATGTAATCGACATTTTTCATCGACCCTTATTCATCCCCCTCGTGGGATGAATTTTTAATAAACATTTCTCGTGATCGTGTACGTTATAAAAGAATTACGTGTACATTAATCGAAATGTCGAAAAAATAACTTCCCTTTGCCAGCTTCCGATTACGTGTAAAATATTTAAGATTATAAATCTTTAAAATATAGAATAAGGTACAATTTTAACGAAACTTTGTTACACTTGTAAAATAATATTGTAATTAGGTGGTAGAAGTCATCGAAATCGGTCGTCCAAATAATTATACTGATAGGATTAGAAACAATGTCACACTAACTCACACTATGATAGTTTAACGCGATGTGACAACTCAATATTGACTCATACTGTGACAGTTGTGACTTAATGTTACAATGTTGACTCACACCCATACTAATTTCCCCCTACGTCTTCTTTCCCTCAAATTCAACTGCCACTCCGTCATTCGACGGGGATCGAATTGCGGCGAACTAAGCCGAGCCACTCTGGCGCACTTGGAAATACGCTGCAATCCATCAGTACGATTCGACATTTCGTCGCCCCTTCTCGCGGACTGGAGTGCCATATACACTCGCCCCTGCACGCATCCAATGAAGCCGTTAAGGCCATCTGCGGTCAATAGCAAGTACAGATAAAAAAAACTTATACTGTGTGACTTAATGTGACAGTTCGATATTAACTCACATTGTGACGAACATATTAAAGTAATAACTCAATTTTGACTCACTATGTCGAGTGTGATAATGTGACAAATCAATGTTAACTCACACTGTGACAAACGTGAGTCAATGTTGATACACACTACGACGAGTGTGACTGCATGTGACAATGCGAGTTTGTAATATGTCACAATAAATCTATAGTGAAAACTTAATATAACACAAGATTCTCATAGGTAACTGTAATTTGTAGTTTTTATATAATTTTAATATTGTATCCATATAGATTAATAAATAGTGTTGAATGTAATAATTTTCATAGCAGTACATATATTTTATAAACAATTTAGTCTGTGTAACATGGTCAGAAAATCATGTAAGAGAGACAGAGAGAGAGGTTTTTTAATGGGTGATAATGGAATGATAACCCCACCCGCGCTATCGGTATACACCGGCGAGGCACCAATGAAGGATATGTGAGGATGAAGCAGGTCAGTTAGCCCATCGTGACGAATTCAACTAGAATTGTTCACGATGGTGTCCAGGGGAACCACGTGGAGGTCGACCTAATAGGGCATATTGCTAGCAATGAGGCTGTCAAACTCCATTGCTAACAGCTTAATTTACGCTGTCGGGGTATCAGTGAGTGATGACCCTACAACTAACACCCTACACAACTGTCAAACGAGCCTATCTATAGAATCGTTATCGCTAGCGAGCCTATGAGATACAATGAGACAGAATGAGATATGATGAGCTAGAATGAGATATAATGAGCCAGAATGAGATAGCGACGTGCGCTGTCTTGTTCTTTCTAATACAAGCATTAACTATAACGATTCTATTAATAGATACGTCTGTGCCTTGTGTAGAAAGCTGGTTTATCAGTTGGTGTTTCCAAGAAGTGTAACGTAAAAGTAGACCTGTTAGAAGGTTGGGCATGTTG